TCTACAATTTTGCTTATTTCATTATCTCGTTTTAAAGAAAAAAAAATTTTTTTTTTCATTTTGATACGATATTTTTATGGAGGGTGATAGAGGATCGTATGCTGATCTACACTAGGTAGAATTTATCTGATATGATGAAATTCTTCGGGTAATTTCTAGGCAATCTTGGATAAAACGGTGTCTGAAAAGCATTAAAAATCTGCAAGGTTGTTACAGCGTTAACTATGTTTCTCTACAACTATTTCGCTTTTTAATATGGTTTTTATGGCTAACGATAGATCATGACTAGATGCAGTTTCTGAGAAAAAATCACGTTGGTGGCACTAGGTCTTGAAGAACAATGAAAGACCATAAAAATATCAAAAAAATTGAAATTCTGGATTTTTGACTAAAAATTTTGATATTTTCAATTAAAAGAAAATTTTTTTTTCTTTAAAACGGGATAATGAAATAAGCAAAATTGTAGAGCGAAAAAAGCTCTACAAAACTATGTAAGACAATAATTGTTATCATATTCTGATAAGAGTCATTTCTATATGATAGTCTAATGCTTTGAACCTAAATATTTGATCATACCCTTTCGATATTCCATATAGAAAAAATTCTTAAAATTGAACAGGAACCAATCTGATTTATACACCATTAGATGTAACTTTTCAAGCTCTACAAAACCCTGTATTTTTTTTTTTCGAAATGAATAAGTTGAGAAATCCGGCAGGGTCCTTTTCGGTAGGTGGGAAATATATATCCCACCGGGACTCAAAGGGTTAAACAGTCATATAAACACAGTTTTATTCTTCTTGATATCACATTGTCTTCGTCTTCTATCATTTTTCAATTTTATTCTCATATATTTTCACAGTGCAAGAATGACTGTAAATTTCATTCTCATAAACAGCATCTAATTACTTTCTATTGTGTTTGAAGCTTGTCACTAATGTATAAATCATTGATATCGTTAATGTTCTGTTTATAATATATTATATCTATGTTTCTAATTTGAAAGAAAAGAGTTGAGTACTAATGCTGAACTCAATTTTCTATTTTCTTTGAAATTAACTTTAAAAAATACAATATCCTAAGTATAAGAAATATCACATCAATCGATTATAACTTACTGTGGATAATTTGGAGAATAAAATCTTCAGTCGTTTCTTAATTTCGAGAAGAGTGAATAGTGATAAAAACTGACGACCATGAAAACTCGTGGAAACAATCGAGAAATATAAGAAAAAGCACAGTAAACAATATTAAATTCTAAGATAAGATTGATGAATAGGGAGACAAGCACTGAAATGAAACAATAAATTATTGACGACATCATAAAATGATAAGAAGAAATGAGTTATTTAGATGTTTAATATATCGCTTGTTATTTTCAAGTAAATTTGAGAATACTACTAATATCATCATGCAACTAATATGCAAAGCATGGAAATGCAGTCAAGTCAAACACCTATATATTAATTAGAACAATATTTATCAGTTTCATAAATGGATATAGAAGGACTATTCTAAATCTCTCCAAAATAAAATTTGTTAGCGAAGGAATCATTGAGATATCAGCTGAGTTCTCCTATCAGAGAATCGATTCTCACGGCAATGGAGATTGACACCAACACACACACGTGCCTCCATCGAACAAACGCAATTCTGATTCTACTAATACAAAGTTTCTTTTAACTATATATTGTTTTCTCTGCTAAAGTCTAATCTATTTCAAAAAAATGACAAATGAAAATTGGACGAAAGCACATTACAAATAAAAAGTTCTGCTGTTAGAAGTAGAGAAGACTAGTATTTATTTTGAAGTGATTCTATGACGTATCTGTAAATACCTAGGGTCATCAATAGAATCTTTCTAAAATGTGTGCAATATGAAATAAGAGAGATACATGTACGGAATGATGAAGCAATTCTGAAAGATGACTATATATGTGCACTTATAGGTGAAAGCAAAGCAGAAAAATAGAAAAATAAAAATTGACACAATGAATAAATGTCTTATAGAAAGATAAAAATATAAGACAGAGATAAAGAATTGAATAATGATTTGTCAACATCATAATAGTGTTTGCTATAAACAGAACATTTTCTCACTATAAGATAACAACTCGACTAAGTGCGCAACAAAGGTGTTCGCTCTTCAAACTATCATAAAATAGAGAAATTAATTGTTGTTTGCATCGTATATGTCTCAATTTCTTTAAGCAAGTTGTTGCAATATTATAAAATCTTATTTTTAAAGAAATATAATTTATATGATACAATGTATTCGAATGAAGCACGTAGGGTACTTATGAAAGTTTATCAGTCATAAACATTTGGTAAAATGACTTTAACAACGTCTCCAAATACTCACACAAGAGTGTGTGCTAATCAGAGAAAATGATGTGAGAAAGTAAAAAGAAAATGCCTGGAAAGTCTTGATCGATTATGTATATAGTTTTATACTAATAAAAACTTTGAACTTTATCGCTTAATAATCTAGAAAAAAATTTATTGCATATCCTTGATTGCCTACACAAGCCTCCTCAAGTTATGGTAAATATGACTGATTGTATTTCATATTTGGTATATACATCTATAATTATACAGCTAAAGTAGTTGTCTGTAGTTTTCGAACTTGCATCTATCAGCAGCAAATACATGAAACGAACAATGAAAGACAATACAAAAATTGTGCCATAGCCGATACCGATATCACACACTCGTATGAAAAGTTGATTTCGACAAGCTAATATACTCATGACACACGTTGATAGTAAAATTGAAACAGCTGACAAAATCTACAGAATAGCTTTGATATTTCCTTGAAATACGATTAAAGTAGGTATAACGTACTTCATATTTCAATCTCATAAGGACTACATTGAATTCTTTTTTCACTATCAGTATACATAAGTTTCGACTCGTTTAGTATCTATCGATAGATGTCGGATTTTATAGGACTATAAATTCTATATTAGACTTGCACACTAATAAAAGGTTTCTCAGGCATAGATAATTCCGAATGAATCGTAGATCAATCCGACATTTGACGAGAGATTCACTTTCTTATTTCTTTTGTTTATACAAAAGATACATTTTATTTACATAATATAATTTGAGATGAAAATGATTCAGAAAAATATATTGAATGTATTTAGAAATATTTTAATGCGTATCACCCCATAGAAATAACCATTGACATCACTAAAATTGGTTTTATATGCAAAAACAATCACGTTTATGATCAAATTTTTCAAAAACATCAGTGAAAACTCGAAAAAAATTTAAATCGACTAGTTCAGAAAAAGTTGTGTCAACTGGACTGAGTCAGAACGACTGATCATCGACCTTTAGCCGTTACCGTTTGCAAGACTGTCACATCTATACGCCTACACCCACCTATACTTTATAGAAATCTAATAGAGAGTTAAACATTGAGTTTTTCAGAGAGAAAAGATAATCATTTATGAGTGACATCTATGTTGATTTGTCAGAAGAGGCACGATAAAAGTCATGGACTGGTTCTCTTCTATGTGCCAGTAAGGAATCAAATGTCACAGAATCTAGCTCGATTTGATATCTTTTTGGAATTTAGTATTGATCATATAGTACATATTCTAAATCATTATTCATTTGTGGCTACATTTGAGCCAACTAGAAGAGATGATCGATTAAATGCTATTCAAGATTAACAATTTAATGAAACTATTAATCGATTAGTGGAATCAATGATTCAATTCATTTTTTTTTATAACTGATCTACAAACTTTTTTTGTCCACAAGAGCATTTATCAATAAGATAAACTGAACAATATGTAAATCAGTTTAAAGTAATATTATTCATCTATTTGTTGTACTCTCATTTAATGACTTCAATTTTATAGTTATTTATTTAGCATTTTTATCATAAAGATCAATTGATAATCTTTTTTTCTTTCTAGTTTTAGATAATACATATTATACTTTCTCAAGTTAAAAGATATAAATATACAAAATCACTAAATGAAAGCTAATAGGTATTATCAATATCATCTCGAAGTGTTCATTCGAAAAGATGAATAGTTACTTTTAATTGAATGAAGTAGGTTTAAGTAAGAACATAATCAATATCATTAATAACTTGTGAATTTAGGATAGAAATAGAAAAAAGATTTAAAATTATTTTTTTTTGATAATATCCTTTCAATATTCTATTTATACTTTCAAATCATATAATTATTTAACATTGATTTCTTAGGAATAAATTACGATGTTAATCTAATTTTATTTTTGAAAATAAATTTTTATGATTTAAAATCTTGATAATTAGAAAAGATTTACTTTAATTTTTTGAACAACTTTATTCGAATGGTTTGAGAGTGATAATTAATATGAAAATGAACAGGTCTTATGTTCGAATCCAGCTTCTAGAATAATGTGTGTCATATGATGAAAACGCATTGGGCACTGATAAAAATGACGAACAACCATTTGAAATCACCAACCTACCTTCTGATGACACAAATCAAATATTTTATTTTCTATTTAAATGAAAATTTAACAAAAAAAAAAAAAAATCAATAAATATCATTGACAAATGATCAAAAATGATAAACAGATAAATGAAATGATAAATGTGTAACTTAACATTTTATTTTATTTTATTTTGTTGTAGAGAAAAATAATATCTTTCTCGTTTGCAATTACCTTAAATCAAGTGGTAAGACTCGATGTCAATAAAGTAATCTGATCATATTTCAATTTGTTTTTGACAAACAAAATTTTTCTACGAGAATATTTTCTTTATATGTCAATACAAAATTCATATATACAAAAAAGAAAGATATCATTTATTTTGCACATAAATAAAAAGATCAATAGAATAGATTTTTTTAAAAAATGGTGTCATCATATGGCTATTTTTCTTTTTACAAAACATCAAATTTTTATAAATTATTTTATTTTTTTTAGATAAAAAAAGACATGTATTCAAATAATGCAATATTATATAAATAATTTCAAAACGATCAATGTCTCGTTGGTTTTTTCGTTCATGTCGTTTACATTCTACAACATTTATTAAATGTATTTTATGTTTAGTAATAATTTATATATTAAATACAATACTTGGTGTGCAATATTATATATGGTCAGAAAAATCATTTGAGAATGAATATCATTTAACAATGACACAAATTGATATTAGAAATATTGATGAAAATAAACCAGAAAATATTTTAGGTTTACCAAAATATATTATTTCAAATAGATTTATTATTAATAATGAATATTTATGTAATCATGGAAATTCAGTAACATTTATTCAACCACATTTATTAATATTAGTCAAATCAGCTGTTGAGAATTGGAAAGCAAGACAAGCTATTAGAATGACATGGGCAAAGAATGATTTTTTAGAAAAAAATAATATTAAATTAGCTTTTGTTTTAGGTAAATTTTATCTTAAAGATAAGTTTTTGAATATTTTCTATAATATATTATTTTATATCTATCAAATTTAAAGGTACTATTAGATCACAAAAATTTTCTTCTAGTAAGAAAAGCTTCATAGAGATTTCTTTCATATGTATATATATACTTGCATGATTATCTTTTATTCTATTAAAATAATTCTTTTATTATAATTTCTATCATATTTATATTGATTATTGTAGGTACAAATGAACAAAATTTCAGTGTGGAAAAAGAATCACAACAATATAAAGATATTATTCAAATTGATAAAATTGATTTTTATTATCATAATTCATGTAAGTTTTGTTTTTGATAATAAATATGAATACATAAAAATCAAGACCTTTTCTTAACTGTCTATCCTTTCAAATAAGTTCGAAAGTTTGATTTAATAATTTTTAAGTCTTTAGATAACTTTTCAATATCAATTATAGAATGTTAAGATATTTGTCATGCAGAACATCTTGAGAAGCTTTTGATTACAATTAAGTTCTTTCAAGCATTCTGAGATGTATGATCGAAAAAACACAAACCGAGATAAAAACAAGATTTTCCACTTTATTTGAAAACATCATGTTATTTATGAAAGATCAAAGATCGAATTATCTCCTCATACATTTATTTCAATTTTCATACTTTTCACAAAAATTACCTTTTATCGAAGAGTGAAGCAGAGATGTCCATCGCGGCTGAAAAACTGCCGCTGCCGCGCCGCGGACTTAGAAAAAAAAAGCTGCCGCACCGCAGCCGCGCCGCGACGATTTATAAAAAAATGTTGCCGCGGCGCTGCCGCGCCGCGATGACTTATAAATACAACGTTGCCGCGATGAATTATAAAATAAACGTGCCGCCGCCGCGGCGGTTTACAAAAAAGTGTTTCTAATTTCACTGCTGCGACTATATTTCACCAGAGATATTGGTACTAGTCCATCAGATTCATTCAGTCCAGGGGTGTTTCATTTGTAAACCCTGAAATTCTATTAAATTCATGCAGCTTTTCAATGTTCCCCAAAAAAATCCTGCCGCTGCCGCGATGGTCTTTTAAAAAACCTGTCGCTACCGCGCCGCTGCCGCGATGATTTTTAAAAAATCTGCCGCGGTGATTTTTTTAAAAAACCTGCCGCTGCCGCTGCCGCCACCACCATCGTGGCAGCGGCGCGGCAGCGGCAGCGCCGCGATGGACATCTCTGGAGTGAAGTAAGCATAAGTGAAATATGTTATTTACTAATGGTTGAAATGAATCAAAAAAATGATAACTATTGTTTCGTTTTTTGATTTATGATTATAAAGTCAATTTTCTAATTGAAATTTTTATAACAGAATCAAACAGTCTAAAGTTTTTGTTTTCAATTTTTAAAATTCAATCAAATAATTTTCTTTCAGTATAAAATTGCCTATGAATGTGATTATTAGATGTTCAATGAGATAGAACTGAAATGAATATTGACATATTTCTTATGATGAAAAAAAAAAATTTTCTTTTTACATTTATAAATAATTGTTGCAAAAATATTCAATATAGATAAAATGGTAATGATGCTTCGTTGGATAAATGAATATTGTACATCTAAAAATGATCTTCGAAAATATGTTTTATTTGTTGATGATGATTATTATATTGATTTAAATTCATTATTAACATATATAAATAAAATTGATAATAATTCTAATATGACAATAAATGAAAGACGAACATTTATAACTGGTTATGTTTATCAAAGTTCTCGTCCACGTCGATTTTTAAATGATCGTTGGTATATATCAATAAATGATTATCCATATGATCATTATCCACCTTATGTAACAGCTGGATGTTTTTTAATGACAATATCTAATGCACGATTATTTTATATAGCATCAAAATATACGAAATTATTTCGTTTTGATGATATTTATATGGGACTTTTAGCTTATTCAATGTCAATTAAATTAATTCCAAATAATGATTTATTTTCATCATATCATTCATCAATTATTTTATTTAATAATCAAACAGGATTTTTTTCAAAATTTAAAAGATTTTTTACTAATAATATTAATTTAAATTCAACAAATAAACCTATTTGTATTCATGGATATCGTGGAGAAGAATTAATTCAAATTTGGAATAACATCTATCAAACTAATCTAACACTTTCACTAAGTAATTGATAATCAAAATATTTTCATCTGTTTTTTTTTTTTGTATTCTTGTTGTCAGATCTGATTTTTTGTCTATATTGACGTGCCAATGATAAAAATAAAAGACTATATTAAATAAGAGAAATATTATTAAGAAGAATATTTCATTTTTCTAGATGTTAATTAATTAAACAAAATGAAACAGAATGATTTTCTTTGTGGAGTTATTGAAGGTAAGTTTAGATTATTATTTAAGTACCTTATTAATTGTATCAAACACGTCTTACGTTATTCATATCATATCTTCTATGAATATTCTCAAAAACTCAATTAAGAACCAGTCAGAGATGTCCATCGCGGCTGAAAATCTGCCGCTGCCGCGATGAATTATAAAATAAACGTGCCGCCGCCGCGCCGCTACCGCGGCGGTTTACAAAAAAGTGTTTCTAATTCCACTGCTGCGACTATAGTTGACCGGAGATATTGGTACTAGTCCATCAGATTCATTCAGTCCAGGGGTGTTTCATTTGTAAACCCTGAAATTCTATTAAATTCATGCAGCTTTTCAATGTTCCCCAAAAAATCCTGCCGCTGCCGCGATGGTCTTTTAAAAAACCTGCCCCTACCGCGCCGCTGCCGCGATGACTTTTAAAAAATCTGCCGCTACCGCGGTGATTTTTTAAAAAACCTGCCGCTGTCGCCACCGCCATCGCGGCAGCGGCGCGGCAGCGGCAGCGGGCAGCGCCGTGATGGACATCTCTGGAACCAGTACACGAAATATACGATTTATAGAAATATAGAACGTACAGAAGATAGTGCACGAGATCACATACATATTAAATCGCCACTATCTTCTATGTTAGTACTTAATTGAATTTTTGAAAACAGTGACTGGAATACATTTGTAAATGTTCTATAATCGTGCAGATTTTATGTTCAACATGTATCAATCAATATAAGTGTTTGTGAACTAATCAAGATGTATAATAGTATGTTGAGACCTATTGTAGATTTTGTATATATGTGCAATAGGCTTACTTATTAGTTAAATCAATAGTTCGAATAAGATTAACGATAAGTTAAGAAAAACGACAATCGAATAGAAAATCGAACGGCAGTAAAAATATAAGAAAAAAGTTCTATTCGAAATGCAACATATTGCTTATTTGGCAATCGATTATCTTAAAAAAGAATTATACTCTGCAATAGACTCTTCACTTGACGAATTTAAATTTCGAAATTCCGATTTCAGAGACATCGTGTTAATAAGCGAAATCATTAAGAACGGTTTTCAAACATTTGAGTTGTTAAATTTTCTTTTGATAGAAAAAAAAAATAAAGATTTTTCAATTTTTTCATCTGACTAACATATATTTAGTAAATTGAATTGAATGAAATTTATTTATTCTAGGTTATTATGGTCGTCCATGGTCATTTAATCAACGTAAAACACTTTTTGAATAGTTCGTATTATTTTTTTTGTTATAAATAAAATAAAAATGATTATGTTCAGTTGTTTGAGATTTGGTTTAAATACATATGTATATGCACCAAAAGATGATGTAAAACATCGATCTCGTTGGCGTGATCTTTATTCTAATGAAGAATCATCTGAATTAAATCAATTAATTCATATAGCTAAACGATATGGAATTAAATTTATATATGCTTTATCACCCGGTCTAGATATTATTTATTCATCAGAAAAAGATTTAACAGCATTGAAAAGAAAATTTAATCAAGTATTTATTTTAAATTAATTTAAGAATTTAATTTAAAATAATTCTTTTTTTTTTAATTTAGTTATCAAGTTTAGGATGTGAACATTGGGCTATATTATTTGATGATATTGAAAGTGAAATGTGTCAACAAGATAAAGATCGTTTTGCATCATTTGCACATGCTCAAGTTGCTGTTGCTAATGAAATTTATGATTATCTTAACAAACCAAATGTTTTACTCTTTTGTCCAACACGTACATTATTTTAATATAATTAAACTTTGTTTATATTGTTTGTTTATTTTTTTTATTTTTAGAATATTGTAGTCGAATGGCAAAACCTTCTGTTGAAAGATCTTTCTATTTACAAACAATTGGTAATGGTCTTCATCCAGATATTGATATTTTTTGGACTGGTAATATTTATATATACAATGAAATTCTACTATTTAAAAAAATCACAAGAAAAAAAAAGTACATGAGAATATTATAGAGTTTAGAGATAAAATATGATTGTAAAATTAAGTATCATTTTCATGATAATTTTGAAACATGATTTGACTTTCTCGGACAAACAGTAAAATAAAAATAAACAAACAATGTGACCGTGAGGTAAATAGAATTCGAGAAGAAATAGTTTAGTAAAGGTAGAGAATGGATCACAGTTGATTTCGTTCTTGTTCTACTTCAGAAATAAAAACACCTATTGCAAAAAGTTTTTAGACTTTCTACTACAGTTTTAATTCCTCCTATTTCTAAAACTATTAATAATCCTATAGTAGAAGTCTACATTGTATTGAACTAATGAATTAAAATATCTGCATAGTTTTATTGTTTGTTTGAATAGAACTATTTAGCTTAGAGAAGAATTTATCAAGTTGATTAAACTGATTGAATAAAAGATTATAAAATCGAAATAAAACTTGAACTCTATTAATATAAATTGTAGGTCCAAAAGTAATATCTCGACGTATAACAATATCTCATATATTATCAGTAAATAATGTTTTACAACGACGTGTAACAATTTGGGATAATTTAAATGCAAATGATTATGATCAACGTCGTTTATATTTAGGACCATTTACAGGTCGTTCATCAAATTTATCATCTCGTTTATCTGGAATGTTAACAAATCCAAATTGTGAATTTGAATTAAATTTTATTCCACTTAATACACTTGGTCAATGGTATCATTCATTAAGAATAAATGAAAGTCAAGATCAAATTGATGATAATAATAATGATGATGATGATGATGATGATGATAATAATAATAATAATAATAATAATAGTCTTCAAATAACTCAAATATATCAATCAAATAAAGCATTAGATCAAGCATTGATTGATTGGTTACCAGAATTTCATAAAGTTAAAACAGCTCATGATTCACAACATATATTAAAAGTAATTGAAAATTTTTTTTTTTGTGTTTTTCTAAATTTAAATATATATTATTATAATTATTAATTAATTTAGATTGATAGTTCTCCTCAAGCAATGAGTCCTAAACCAACAGTATCATCATTAATTATTGATGAAGATTCTCAAGATTCAATATGTGAAAGTCAAACATCAACAACATCATCATCAAAAATTCATATAATGGAATGTGATGGAAATGTTAATACAAGTGATATTACATTAGATGATATAAGATTACTTGTTGAATTATTTTATTTACCTTATGAACATGGACCTAATGCTCAACAAATGTTTATTGATTTTTATTGGCTTAGATTTAATTATTTTCAAAATGAAAAAGTATATTTATTTATTTATTTATTTAATATTTTTTATTAAATTTAAAAATAATTTTCTTTTAAGTTAAATGAATGGCGTTGTCGTGCTTTATCATTTCATAATAATGTAAAAAATGTTGGTCGTCTTGTTCAACGTTTAACAACAATTCATAATAGATCATTACTTTATGATATTTATAATTATGTTACTGATATTAGTTCAACAATTTCTCTTTGTTCAAGATATCTTCATTGGATTGGTAAAGTTTTATTTTCTATCGATTCATATTTTCATTTACAATAAAATTATAGATAATGATCATAAACATTCATCTATATTCTTGTCAGGTGATGTTGAACCAGCATCAAGACGTGGTGGTCTTGCCGGAGAATTTTTGGTTATAAAATTTTGAAAATTTTTCTTTTAGTTTTTTGTTTTTTTTTTATAGAATATTCTTCCAATTGGTGATTTTCAATCAATAATTAAACCAGAATTAAATTCATTACCAAATATTTATCTTATTCAACCAATGACTTCAAATGATCAAGTTTGTTTAATTTTAACAAGAAAAACAAAAACTATATATTATTTTATTTTGAGGCTTCAATGTATGCTTTATGTACACAAGTTTGTTATCGAGATGAAATTGATGATCTTCTAGAACAACATTCAGAAATTTTAGCTGATAAGTTAGTAATTATTTTTCAATTGAATTATTTACTATTATTAAAATTAAATAAGAAGTTATCTCTTTCAAATTTATTGATAATGTTTGAGAATATCTTAAGATGAATAGTCTAGAGTTGTGATGCATTGTTTATGAGACTATAACAAGTCTAAAAGAGTTTGTTCGTCATATGTTGCATTTCAAGTTTTAAGACTATTTCCTATTGAGTTTTAGATTTCTAACAAGAGAATTATTAAGTTTTGATCTGAAATTTTCATACTTATTACAAATATTCTTAAAAGTATGATTGAAAAAAAAGTTTTTTTTTTGCGATATTTATACACTTTAAAAAACGAATAAATGTCATGAGTAGAAACAAAAAAAATCTAATGTCTTCCACATTCAATAATGCACTTTATCAGAACTTGAAAATTTATTAACTTGATTAGAATTTCTTTAGAAGATAATAAATTATTGCAATATTTTTATTTATTTTTATAGATTAATTGGTGGATATTTATTAAGTTCATTGAATAATTTTGATTTATGTTTTGTTGTAAATAATGTTGAAGATGAATTATGTGCATTTGTATTAACAATAATTGAAAGTGAAAAATATGATAAACTTATACAACCAACATGGATAACACAACTTCATCAGAAATATCCAAATGTTGATCAAGTAAAGCAAAAATAAAAAAACAAGATTGTTTCATTTGTTTTTTTATTTTTATAATTTTGTTTTGTAAAATAGAATTTTTTTGAAATAAATGAATGTCATCAATGGATTTATGATCGATATTCTGTTCGTATACAATTATTTATTGATTTAACAATTAAAACTGATAATGCATATTTTATTGGAAATAAATTAATTAAAATTATTATTGATAATTT